TTTGTACAGCCTTAGTTAATCTTTGTAAAAAGTCACTAAAGGGTTCTCTCTGACCCTGTTTAACTCTGACAAATGATTCCATTCTCTGTCCTGGGTCTTGTACCCTGTCCCAAGCCCTTAAGGCTGCTGTAGTACACATGGAGAGTGTGTTTTCATCCAAATTAGCTTGTTCCTGAGGATCGGAAAAGGGCCCTTCACCTAGAATTTGATCTAGGGAAATGTCAATTCCCTTCGCTTTTTCCTGCTGTTCTAAGAGTCTAGCCTCTTGCCTGAATAAGCATTTCCATTTCAATTGCGGTCCACTCTCGAGTACCGCAGAGCTCAGCTGGAGCCAGTCCGAGGGGGTTGCTCTGCTTGTCGTGGCCCAAGATTTTAGCATCTCTTTAACAAAAGAGGCTTGCATCCCAAAAGTCATGACAGCCTGTTTTATTTCCTTGAGATCATTCATACGCACAGGCTCCCATGTATCCTCCTTGATGACCCTAGGGTTTTTGGAACCAATCACCTTCTCTGTTGTTATTACGGGAAAGGCAGGTAGAGCTGTAGGTAGAGCTTTGTGGAAATTGTCCCGGAGAGACTTACCCACAGATGTAGTTAAAATTTTCCTTTCTACCCTTTGCTCTTCTTCATCAGAATTTAGAAATTCCTCAATCTTTTCAATTCTATTCACCATTGCCTTCTGCAATGTCTGAATCTCCTGTCCAGAATTATGTTCCAAAGCCTTCATTGAGGATTCTAATGTATGAAGTTTGTCCGTTAGAGATAACATCTCATCTTTGGACATAATTTTTATGGCATAAACCGTGCCTTCTTGTATTGACAATCTTTCCGTCAATCTGTCATAAGCTTTAGACAAAATCCGATTGTCACATTCAGCAGTTTTGATTCTCTCAGTTAATGTTTCATTTCCTACAGAAAGGGACTGAATCTTATGGTCCAGATCAGCTGTTCCCTCTTCCATAGTAATGAATTTCTCCTTAACATCAGCCTGAAGAACTTCAACCTGATTCTTGAGAAGATTGTTATCAGCCTGGAGAACTTCAAACTGATTCTCGAAAAGATTGTTATCAGTCTGGAGAACTTCAACCTGATTCTTGAGAAGATTGTTATCAGCCTGGAGAACTTCAAACTGATTCTTGAGAAGATTGTTGTCATTCTCAATTGTTTTTAAGCGTTCAATCTCTGCCTTAAGAATCCTGGATTCGTCTCGTAAAGACTTTATCATATTTCTATTATCAAACCATTTGGTGCCAATGAAAACTACGAATCCCAGAAGGATCCATATATGTGGGGTGATAGACACCTCTTGTAAAATCTCCCACATGGTACAATTAAAAAAATCATTAAATTCTTGAACAATAATGTGTTCAGACATTTTATTTATAAAAGAAAATTTTTTTACCTGCAAAGATCGGTTCCTGCCAGTGGTGGTCTCTGTGTTTTTGGAGCCTGTCCTAGAACTAGCTCTTGTAGACCAGGCTGGCCTTGAACTCACAGAGATCCGCCTGTCTCTGCCTCCCAAGTGCTGGGATAGAAGGCGTGCACTACCAAGGCCTGGCAGGCCTCAAACTCACAGAGATCTGCCTGCCTCTGCTTCCCAAGTGCTGGGATTAAAGGCGTGCTCTACCACTGCCTGGCCGGCCTCAAACTTGTGATCCTCCTGCCTCTGCCTCCTTCAGCAAATCCTACCGGCGTGGGCCACCACAACCGGCCAAGTCACTTTGTAACAGACCAAATCTGACGCTGTGGCAGCTTTTGTTGCAAAACCGCAAGTACTTGAGCTTCAGGCAGTGGGGTTCAGGCAGTGGGGTTCCGCTGCAAAACTTAGCCAAGGCAGGCAGAATGGGCCTGTGTCGCCGAGTGTGTCTCGGACTCGGCACTGGGGCCGGAGTCACGAACTGAAAAACAGCACCGGGGAGGGTGCTGTGTTAGCTAGCGGGCTACCCGCTTGAGTCGGGGGCAAAATAGCCCGACGTTGGACGCCAAAATGTAACGGCGTAAATGAATGCAGACAGAGTGTAAAAATATATATATATAGCTTTAATGTAGAAATAGACTTACAGAACCACCGTTCCCGCGGAGACCAGGAAAGCAGAAGCGAGAAGCTCGGAGCTTGCTCGCCAAATTTATAGGCAGACATTAGCCCGAGGCGAACACGCCCCTTAAGGGGCGGGACTTATCCCTACAAACATGGATGGGGGAAATCTGATAAGGTCCACCTACAGGCAATCATAGACTTCTGAGAGAAGGAAAATCAGTTCTCTTTAGAGAGGAGCCCCTCGATTTATCCAAGCCTAAGTAAGTAAGTGGTCACCCACAAACACATCTACCATGACTCGGTAGGTTATGTATGTAACAGGTCCTAGTTAAAGCAGTCATGAGAGGAAATTGGGGCACCGGAAGAGTTGGAAGGGAAGAGGAGGGGGAATGAGGTAATCATATATACAATTCTCAAAAATTTTAAATGATAGCAAAATGGATCCCTTGTCGGTGGTCCACAGAAGGGCCATTATCAGCTAGAAGTCAGGCTTCTTGCTGCACTAACTGAAGCCTTGTGTGTACTGCTTCCTCGGAAGTTCAGAGAACCCTCTCCCGCTGTGGCCCTTCAATCTCTTGGCTGGCATCTCTAGACCCAGGGCAGGTATCAAGGTCCTACTAAAACCTCTCTTGTGAAAATGGACCAGTCCCAAAGCTCATGTGGCAGAGGGGCCTCTTAAAAACTGAAACAAAGGGGGCTGGAGAGATGGCTCAGTGGTTAAGAGCATTGCCTGCTCTTCCAAAGGTCCTGAGTTCAATTCCCAGCAACCACATGATGGCTCACAATCATCTGTAATGAGGTCTGGTGCCCTCTTCTGGCCTGCAGGCATACAAGCAAACAGAATAATGTATACCTAATAAATAATAATAATAATAAAAAAGAGTTCCTTGATAGCCAAGGGCCACACAAAGAGAGAGAGAGACCCTGTCTCAAAAGTCAAAACAACAACAACAACAACATCTAAATATGATAAAAATAAAGTTTGTCTTTAAAAAAAAACTGAAACAAAGAAAAGACATAGTAACTAAGTCATTCATCATTCCAGCCCAGCCGCAAAGCATACAGAAGAGGATGACCCAGTGTGCTCCAAACCTGGGGCCTCTAGAGAGAAGAGGTGTGACAGAAATGTTCTCACTAATTATGTCCCCTTATCAATTAGGTCTCCTAACACTACACTGCCAGTGAAATTTTGTATGCTGCCAAGATTCCAGAGAAAACAACAATTGTAAGACCCAAGTCCTGCACATGTAGATTAATTTGTAGAAAAATTAATGTCTTTTCGACAGCATCAGCCATGACAGACACAAGGACATCTCAAAGTTCCCAGGAGCCATCAGAGAAAAAGGGACGGTGGGGTCTAGAAGTTCAGAAATGCCAATGGCAATAACTGTGTTTTTTTCTGTAGATTGCTAGACTTGGCTATGTCCAACCCCATCACAAAACTGTCAGCATGGGAAAGGAACAGAACATTTCCTTTGAGAATCATTCTTTGGTGGAGCACTGGGCCAATCCCACCCTACAATTTCAACCCCACTAAATTTATAGGTAGGGGAACTGATGTCAAAACGAACGTTAAGTAGAACCTTTGCGTGGAGACATGCAGGAGCCCACTCCTGCAGCCTCGTTCGTGTGAGCGAAGAGAAGCAAGCAGGCTTTCCACATTAGCCTGCGAATGAGCAGGGTCACTCACTCAGCCTCAGCTTCATGGTCGATAACTGTGCCAGAGGGAGAGACCACTTCTTTTTCCATAAATGACAGCAGCCTGGAGCATCCCATAGCTTGATCTGAGGCAAGTGTATTATTTTTCCCAGACAAAGTATCATTATATAACCCTGGTTGGTCTGGAACTCTATATGTAGAGCAGGTTGGCCTCAAGTCTTCCTGCTTTTACCTACTAAGGGCTGAGATTGCAGGCATTTGTCACTATGCTCAACCCAAATGTCCGTCCTGAACCAAACCTACAGCATCAAAAGTCTCTTCAAGCATCTTGGAAAAGTATAACCCACGAATCATAAGGTAAGTGATTCTAAACCTTCTCGAATCCCAAGAAAAGAGTATTAGTACACCAGTCAGTGTACTAACTGTACACTTTAGGACCATAACCAAAAACACTAGCTCCTGACCCTTCTGTCAAACCAGCTTACACTTTACTTTTCAATAACCAACATCCTGGTTTCTGAGGAGACATGGGGGAAGAAGCCGAAAATATAGCCAATTTCAGATGATCTTAACCCCTTTCCATGCTCCCCGCCACTTGGTATGAACAAAAGGAGCTGGGAAGGTGCCAAGGCCGAAATGATTTACACTTTAAAAGGAATGTTCCAGAATTTAAAAACCAAACCAAACCAAAAAAAAAAAAAACCCACTAAAATCCAAACCACCTTGTCTGCAATTAGAGGATGGCAGGGGAGGAGGGGACTAAAGGGATACACTTGAGAGCAGTCGAGCAATGGGAGGGTTAGCTATCCTTTTTCCTCCTCAAGGACAGCCAGATCTGATAGGGCTGCTGCTAAGCCCAAGCTGCCTCACTTTCCTGCCTTGTGATACCATGGGCCCCCCTCACCATCAAAGACCCTTTTCAGGGCTTTGAGGGCGATTGTCACTAACGTCCTGGCTTGTCATCTCCTTCAAAAAGCTGCAGGACATCCCATGGGCAGAGGCAGGCAGAAAAACCACCCTGTGCCCTCGAACAACTTTTCTGATAAAAACGACACTTTTAAAACTAACACCGATCTTTCCCTATCGCAAAGGCTGTAATTCAGCCCTGCCCTGTAAAGTGACACGTTTCCCTTTAGAGACAACAGGCAAATTGGATTCAGCTGAGATAAACATAGTCTAAAGCCCACTAACTCTTCTAATATCTTTCATCCAAGAACCCCCAACTCTTAAATCTGTTTATAAATGGTGGAAATCGGGTCCCATCCCTTTCAAAGAGGGAGTCAAAGGAGCTCCACTTTCTTACCTCACAGCCTGTGTATCTGGAGAACAATCTGTCCATGGAAAAGGCTTTTCGCACCCTTGCTGCTGGGGAGGTCAGGCCAGGGCCACCGTCTTCAGCTGTGAATTAACAGCTTGAGATAAACCCAACCTGGACGGAGCAATAACCAAGCCTGTCTAGCAGGAGGGAGGAGTCTCCTGAAGTGGGGCTGTCCGTGTCATTTGAGTTAGCCACCTGACCTGACCTTGGCCACTTTAGTACCAGGACCACAGAGCAAAGGGGCACTTAATTCCCCTTTTTTTCCTGTCACCCCTTACAAGTCCTGGAACCCTCCTTGCTCCTATCTTGAAGTGGCCAAAGTCAATACTAAATCAACCTGCCATTTCTCTCCAAAGCCCAGAGTTCCATCTCCACTCTTTGCCGTCTCTGCTTCCCAACACGAAGTCTCAGAAAGGGCAAAGAACACTTCATCTCAGCCCACCCCTCCCTGTCTCTAAACCTAGCTGTCCTTAAGGACCCACCCTTGGTCCAAACCCGTGTGTCATAGCTTACTCAGAGAGACGCAGGAGGATCACCCAGAAGTCCAGAGCGTCCTGCACCTCCTATCTCAGTCAGACCATAGAAGCAGATGGGGCTCTGCCTTCCAACCAGGTAAATGACCTGAGCTCTTGGACGGCAGGGCTGCCATAGGACAAGAGCCAATGGTCATATGCAAGCGCTCTGTAAACTGGAGGAACCTGGTTCCTGGAGACAAAGATTGGGAATCTTTGGAACATGGTCCATTTGTCTTCTAAAGAGAAAGATCCTATACCATTCTTAAGGCAGGTTTACCAGCCCTCTCTTTAACCCCTCTTTCTGGTACAGGAAAAAAAAAAGGGGGGGGGGAGACAGGTTTCTGGAGAACTCAAGTTAGAAGATCATTTATTATTGGGGTGCAGAGATAATGGGTGAGCAGAGCCCCAAGGTTACACTGGGATGCAGCTTCCTCGAGCCCTCCAGTGAAGTCTAACCAGTGTCAAAGAGCCTGATACTACAAACTCAGAGCCTGAAGCCATCATCCCTCCACCTCCTGAGAAACCCCAGGGAAGAGAGGAGAACCGGTGAGGGAAAGAAGGGGAACAGGTCAGTTTCTGACTGGTCATAGAAAGGGAGAAAAAAAGACAACACCTCCCCGGCCTTGCCAGAAACAGGGCTAACTGGATCCTCATCCCAGCCCTCCATTTCTCACCAGGAAACAGAGATGGTGAATGCAGATGAAGCACTGGCAGCTAGGGGCTGGGCACTGACCTGGGCACCCACCTGAAAAAAATGCGAAAGAGTGCAACCCACCATCAAGCACCCAGTTCTTTCTTGCACACGGAGGAGAAGGCAATAGGTCCTTTGGGCCCGCAAAGTCAGGAGGGTCTGTGGTTCCCACTCCCTAGACCTGGCTCTCCAGCTTCCATTCAGTCTGGCGCCCCCATCTGTCCTTTCCAGAGGGCCTCGGGGTGCACACCACTGGGTGGGGGGAGGTGTCAACCTTCAGAGGTCTGAGATCCTCAGCCGGATCTTTCACCTTCGCCTCAACCCGGCACCGCTTTGTTTCACGCAGGGAAAGTTGCCAGTGTGCACCCCTTTCGCCAACACGCCCCCCTGTGCGCCCATCCCCCGCAGGGAATCCAAGCTCAGACACACCAGCTAATCTGCGACTTGCTCTTCAGCCCCAGCAGCCGCTTCGAAAGCGAAAGCAAAGAAGAGGGATCCGGTAGTGTCCCTACACGGGGTCGCCGGGTCTTCCCCATCACCGGCACCCACGCGCTCGGCCGCTGCCCGCCCCGCTCAGACACCTCTCTCCGCGGCGGAAAGGCCTCTCTGCGGGCATCGCGGGCACCTACCGGTGCGGGGCCGGGTACGAGGGTAGGGCAAGGCAGAGCAGGGTCGGGCTACCGGCTGCCCGACGCAGGTGCGGCCAGGAGCGCGGTCTCTCCGGCTGGCTCCCGCTCCTCCTCCCGCGCCGGGACTCGGGGCGCTCTCCTGCACCGCCTGCTCCCCGCCCCCACGCCCGGCGCTCGGGCTCCCCCCGCGCCGAGTGACCCGCCAAGCCTCCCCCACGCCGCCCGCCCGCGACTATTCCCGCATAGAGTGTCCGCGGCCGCCGGGGCGGCGCGGGGCCCGGGCAGCTGCAGCGGCTGCTGCCCCACAGAACCCAGCCCCAGGCGGCGACGGCGGCACTCACCCATAGTACGGATGCGGTGCAAACTGCACATGCTCGCGTCTGACAGGCGCTCTGCCCCCGGCCCTGTTTAACTCTTTCGGCGCCCGAGTGTCCGCCAGGCCCGCTGCCCCCGCCGACCCAGCCGCCACCCGCCACTCATCCTCAGCCTGCAGTCTCCCCTGCCAGGACTTCACCCGCAGCCCTGGTGGCTCAGTGGCTGCAGTGAAGATTCCTTGGCCCTCCCTGCCCAGGCCACTCCTGCGTTCCAGGTGTGGGGTGAGGGTCGCCTCCCGATTTGTAGGAGTTGTAGGGAACCGCTTGCACAATATTGACTCTGGCTATCTTGAAGCCGCAGGTCCCCGAGGTCCGCACTTCACACCGTGTTGCATACCCACTGTGTGCCCGTATTGTGTTCCATGCAAGTTAATCATTGACGCAGCCAGACCAGGTGGGGCTGTTTGGTTTTCATCATCATCGTTATTCTCATTTCTAAGATGCAGAAACTGAAGCTTATGAAAAACTAGAATTTGCTTTGTTCAAGGACTGAACCTCAAGGTCCACGATTTGGTTCGTAAAGATTAAATGGAATATGTTCTTTCTGAGCTCCTTTTAGGAGGTACAAAACAATGATTGTCACAGAAAATAATAATAATAATACCTTGGCGATTGGGAATACAGAGCATGGGAAATCAGCTCAGTGAAGCCAAATTCAGACAGGCCTCTCAACTAGTCGTGGGTCCTGCGGGAAACCCGAATGAAATTTCCCTCCTATTCCTGTAACAGCCCTGAGTCCTGGCACCTCAGTCAAGACGAACGGACAGTCTTGAATGTCTATAATGCCACATGTCGAAGTTTTCATTTCTTTTCTTAGCCGGGTCTGATCTTGAACTTCCCATCCTCCTAACCTCCACCTGTCCAATGCTGGGATTGCAGAATGGACCCAACAGGTTAGCATGAAAGTGGAGGGATGTCCTTTTTAAATAACCAGAGCGAGCAGTCTTCCACGATTCTCACATACCCTTGGCCTGATCTGAGCGGCCTGACAGTTGCTTCTCTAGGCTGAGACTGTAGCTCGGTAGAAGACCAAGTGTTTAGCCTTCTGGAGGCCTAAGATTCAACTGCCAGTGGACGTTCATACATTTGTGTGCATGAGTGCAGTTCGCCAATGCCCCTGCACACACCAATCGACCTAGAAGGGAGAGGAACATTCAGGGAGAGGCACAACTTTACTAGCCAGGGTTCTCTAGAGGAACAGAACTGATAGAAGAACAAATATATGGGATCTATTAGAGTGGCTTACAAGCTGTGGTCCAGCTAGTACAAGAATGGCTGCTGCCCAACAGATGGTTTAAGAATCCAGTAGTTGTTCAGTCCAGGAGGTTGGACGTCTCCCTTGGTCTTCCACATACCTTGGAATCCAGTAGAAGTAGGTTCTAATAGCAGTGAGGGAGCGCCTCATCTACTTCAGAATAGATGAAACTGCCAGGGAGAGTGAGGGCAAACAGGCAAAAAAAAAAAAAAAAAAAAAAGCATTTCTTTCTTCCATGTTCTTTATATAGGTTGCCATGAGAAGGTGTGACCCAGATTTGGGGAGGGGTCTTCTAATCTCAAATGAGTCAACCAAGAAAAATCCCTCCCAGGTGTGCCCAGCTGCTTGAGCTTTTAGTGAATCCTAGATGCTGTCAACTTACAACCAAGAATATTATCCATCTCAATGACCAAAGAAATTGCAGCATTTACTTCATTTAAAAAAAAATTATCCAGGCAAGTCACATGCCTTTATTTTTTTTATTTTTTTGGATTTTTCGAGACAGGGTTTCTCCATAGCTTTTGGTTCCTGTCCTAGAACTAGCTCTTGTAGACCAGGCTGGCCTCGAACTCACAGAGATCCGCCTGCCTCTGCCTCCCGAGTGCTGGGATTAAAGGCGTGTGCCACCAACGCCCGGCCTCATGCCTTTAATCTCAGCACTTGGGAGGCAGAGACCAGCAGACCTCAGTGAGTATGAGGCCAGTTTGGTCTACAAGGCAAGTTTCAGGACAGGCAGGACTGTTATACAGAAAAACCCTGTCTCAAAAAAGCAAAACAAACAAACAAAAAAATTATCCAAGTGGTGGTGGGCACAGGCCTTTAACCCCAGCACTTGGGAGGCAGAGACAAGTGAATCTCTATGGGTTCAAGGCCAGCTTAGTCTAGGCTTTGTGAGTTCTAGGACAGAAAAGACTACACAGAGAAATCCTGCCTTGAAAAATAAACAAAATTATACATTTGAGTGTTTGCCTGTATAAATGTGCACCACCTCCATGCCCAGTGCTCTTGGAGACCAGAAAACAGCATTGGAACCCTTAGTGTTGAGTTACAGACTGTTGTGAGCCACCATGTGGGTGCTGGGAACCTAACCTGGGTCCTCTGCAAGAGTAACAAATGTTCTTTATTGCAGAGCCATTTTTCCAGCCCCCTTCTTATAATGTGCCAGATGACCTAAGAGGTCTCAGAAGTTCAAGGCAACACAAGTCTAAGAAAAGGAACGAAAGGTTCATTCAACCAGTCTTGCCCCACTCAAGACAAGATGTTAGGTTGCGTCTATTCTTTCTGAACCTAATTGGATCCTATGTCATCCCTTGATTGCCTGATGAGACCATGTCTCTTCCATCAGTCTATGTCCCTAGTCAGGGACCAACAATGAACATCTCTGAACTGGAGGGGGCTGCAGACCAGGGGCTGGATGCCCATCCCCATACATACTCTGTTCTTGGCCTGGACAATCTTTTCTTCTGTAAGAAATCACACTGGGGCTGGGGATGTAGCTCTGTAGTAGAGCACTTGCCCAGTAAGTGCAAGGGCTTGAATTCCTTGTAATATCGCGGGGGAAGCATTGGAGCTCAAGTAGGAATGATTGGCTTTATCTTGGGCTCTTCAAACCAGCAGAGGAAGTATATAGCCAGGCGATGCCACTGATAAGAACTTTTGACCCTCATTATCCTCTGTGTAGGAGAAACACTACCACCTACCTTATGACTATGATGCAATAATTCAATGACATAATGCATGTGAAGTCCTTAGCATACAGTAGGCTTTCAATAACAGGAATTGTGTTCTGTTGCGACTAAGGCAGGGAGAAGGATAACAAGCATTTTTGTGGGCTATACCCTGGACCTTGTCAGAAAGAAATAAGACTGTCCCCTTGACAGACATGTTGACCAGGGTGACTTCATTAAACCTAGCAGCAACCTTAACACCCCTTGCCACAGAACAAGGTCTCCTAGACCTCTCTGTGTTTGGCAGCAGCTTGGGTTCTGGGAAGCAGCATTGTACAGAGGAAGGTGTCAAGAGCTACGGGCAGCATTCTGAATTCCCAGCAATGTAGGTATTAGGTCCAGGAGGTACAGTATCCAGTGCCAGCAATATTTTTAGGGGCCCACAAAATGCCTTTTTGTATAACAAAAATGGATGCAAAAAAATAAACTTTGATGTCAAAGGAAATGTTTTCATATAATATTAATATTTCCATCCTTGGTCTGGGACAAGATGCCAGTGGCAAAATTGCATAGGAAGCGTCAGGAACTGAGACACAGGCTGAGCACCGTGCCGTCTTGGGTCACCCCTCCCATGGGGTTTTTCTCTCGTCTTTAAAAGGGATCATTTCCTCCTGACAACAGTTTACACAGCTGACCTCTCTTTGGGCAGGGCAGCTATTTCTATCTCTCATTACATAAATGGGGAAATAAAATCTGTGTAGTTTTGTCAAGGTTACGCTGCTAATAAAAGGAGACTATAAGTCAAACTCAGGTCTTCCAGCGCCCCAACCAAGATCTCTTCCACCTGCACGAGACGAGAAATAAAATCAGTCATACCCAGGACAGAGCAGTCTGCTGCAGCAGGGAACCTAAAAATAGCAGCCAGAGCAATGAGTGGGTCCCCAGGTTTTTCACCCAAAGAATGCTGAGACCTTCCGGCAGTGTTTTGGCAAAGACTGTGGCCCCAGCTGAAGGTAAGCACCAGGCGATCGTGGCTGTAGTCACTCAAGTATGCATTAAAGATAGAGAAACCCTGAGAGAAACCAAGACCCAGCACTCGTACATATACAGAATGCTTTTTTCCTTGTCTTAAAAAGCTAATGGAGCAGGTAGGTGGGCCACAGGCATATATTTTTGCAATACAGTTTTGTACTTAAATCAAATATCTATATATCTATATCTATGTATCTCTATCTATCTATCTATCTATCTATATCTATATCTATATATCTTGGTCCAGGAATATGACTGGACTTGCCATGCAAGCCCGAGGAACAGAGTTTGGATCCCCAGAAACTCATATAAACATTGGATGGACCTAGGGACTTTCCTGTCATTTCAGCCCAAGGAGTCAAAGACAGGGGATCTTCAAAACAAGCTGGCAGGCAAAATTAGCCATATCAGTAGCTCTGGGTTTGATTGAGAGGCCTTGCCTTGGTGGATGAAGTAGAAAAGAA